AGCTGTTGCTTACATATATCGATTTATTAAAACTAATAGGGTTGGTCACTTAACGCATGTATGTGTGTGTGATATCTATAATGTTATTAGAATCAGGACGTTGTATAACTTCGTGAGAAAGGACAGTGGCACAATCTTGTGATGATAAAACGGTATCAACAGTAGCAGTTCCTGAATGTGAGGATATAGTACCCAAAACTTGTGGTTGCAAGACATAGCTGTTACGAGAAGTAGGACGATCTGGGATAGATATTTGTATGGGTGATTGGTGTGGTTGCGATACATAGCTGTTACGAGAAGTAGGACGATCTGGGATAGATATTTGTATGGGTGATTGTTGTGGTTGCGAGACATAGCTGTTACGAGAAGTAGGACGATCTGGGATAGATATTTGTACGGGTGATTGTTGTGCTCGACGATGATGAAGAATATGTCGGCGATGGTGTGCATCTGGAGTATGTGTCAAATTTCTGCAATTGTTGAGGAGGGTTTGCCAGAAGTAACCCATCAATGCCATGCATAATCTGACGCCGTTCTTGTTTTGAATATTCTCTCAATCTTGTAGCCAATAACTGCGCGTACAAGTCGCACTCATCGTTTCCCTTCCTGTTTAAGAACATGTTATTTAAATTAGATTTTATATGCTTGTAAATATCTGTTTCGCTTTCTTCACAGGTACGCTTTTTTGTGATAGGTGATGTAAAGGTTTTTTTATTGTTCGCTGGTTTCTGTTTCTCGCTATTCTGTTCATCATGTTGGTCATTGATAAGCTTGTTATTTTGCTCGTTATCATTGTGTGTTTCATCGTCGACATTGGGTAGAACTTGTGATATCTGAAATCAGAGAAATCCATTATATTATTTATTTTAAAATATATATTATGTATTAAAAGCCAGTAGCAGATACCACTACTAACAACATTTTTGTGTGGAATTCAAGAAAAAGAATTCGAATCGTAACCCATCAAGTGATAACCGGCCCAATTGGGCGGAGTAACAATTGATTATCTATTGTGTCTCGTTTTTCCGTAATTGAAGGGTTATTAATAATAATAGACAGAACTACACATCAGAGAAATTGTGGTTGACAAATGAGGACTCAAAATAATTTATGCTTTTTCTTCTATTTCAGATGCCGCGCACTACTACAGAATGGTTAAACATAGAAAGAGGTTTCAACAGGAAATACCCACATTGTGTAGGTTGCATCGATGGCAAACACGTTGTGATACAATGTCCAATCAACAGTGGCACAGAATAATATAATTATAAAGGAACATTTAGTTTTGTGCTCTTAGCTTTAGTTGACAGCAGTTACCGCTTCATATTTGCCGATATTGGGGCTCAGGGCAGAATTAGTGACGGAGGAGTATTTCAAAATAGTTTACTTTGGGAAACAATTTCGACAGACACTATTAATTTACCTCCTGATAGTCCACTTTCTGAGGGACAATGTAATATGCCATATGTTTTTCTTGGAGATGGGGCATTTGCGTTAAGCAAACACGTGATGAAACCTTTTCCAGGAAACCATATCATGGGTTCATTACAAAGAACTTTTAATATGAGATTATCTAGTACACGTGTTATCGTTGAAAATGTTTTTGGAGTTTTAACAACAGTTTTTAGGATATTTAAAAAGCCCATGGAAATTAGGAAAGATAAAGCTAAACTGATAACGATGACTTGTATTCTATTGCATAATTTTCTCAGAAGTACTAGAACATCTTTACACACCTCCTGGTACCTTTGATACAGTTGTTGATGGTGAAATAATTAACGAAGGCTCTTGGAGACGAAATGTTTCTACTAATCAAGCTATAAGACTTATACCAACTGTAGGTCGACGTACAAAACAGAGCGCCATAGAAATAAGAAATGAGTTTGCTAGTTTTTTTCTAAGGCAAAATTGTTAAAATATTGGTACATGTTGTCATAAGATAGATTATAATACATTCATCGTATCAGATCCTTCATGGGTTAAAAAATCAGTCTAGCAGATATAATTTTAATAGTTGTTAAATTATATCTTCTAGACTAATTTTTTTAACCCATTTTAGCTAGTAATAGAGCTGAAAAAAATACTTGTTGTAGGTACTTATTCTTGATAGCAACAAGTGAATAAAGTATAAATGAATATGTAGTTTTAATTTACTTACAAGTCCTTCATGAAGTCCTTCTTCGGTGTTGATAGTGGTATGACACTTATAAACAGATGCCAAAAATGTTTCCATGGCATCGTAGTACAGCCACACTGGCTTATAAGCATCATCTTCTCCTGCACCGGATTGTAATGATTGTTTTTTGCGCCGCAGATGCTGACGAAAGGTTGCCATGAGAGAATTTTTTTTATTTTTTAACTCAGGTACAGGTCTACACATTTCTTCACTTAACGTTACCCAAGCATCGTTCACTTTTTGGTTATTTTTGTGCAATTTGTTTTTGGGATCCCAAATGATTGGTTCTTTTTGGAATAGTTCCAAAAACTGGAATGTTTCTTTTTCGGACCACTCCATTTTGATTGATCTGCACAGCACGAGGTTGAAAACTTGAATGAAGCGAGAGCGCGAATGTAAACACCACGCTCGCGTTTGTTGCGAGGTCCTTTGACTCGTGCCCAAATTACCGCTCCGGACGCGAACGCTGCGACGCGCGAGACGAGACGCGAGGCGAGCCGCGAGCAACTGTTTACACTCTCACCTTGTGCTTCGGCTCGTGCCTCGTCTCGCGACTCGTACGCGAGTGTAATGGTTCTAAAAAATTCGCAGAAAAACTAGCTTTACCGAGAAAAAAGAGTGCTGTTACTATTTACGGGTTAGGAGGTATGGAAATGTATAATAATTTAGGCCAAATCTCGGTTACTGTTACCCCTCTAAATAAATCGCAGCCTACTTTAAATCTTGATGCTATTGTCATGGATAAAATTTGTGATAATATGCCTTCTACTACGATTGATGTGAGAGAATGGTCTCATATCAAGGACTTAGAATGGGGTGACCCGGAATTCTTCATTTCTCAACCAATAGAATTAATTTTGAATGGAGATTTATTCCAACGCATTCTTATTGATGCACACATTGATTCCTCGCAGAGTAATTTACCTCGAGCAATCAATACATCTTTTGGATATATTTTCATGGGACAATTCTGTTTTCAAGAATGTGTGAGAAAAAACTGTTTTTTACTCTGAACTCGATTAATGACTCTTTACAACGTTTCTGGGAAATAGAATCCGTTCCACATCGCTCATATTTATTTGTCTGCTGACGAATTAAAATGCGAACAAATTTATGAAAAAACAACTTTTCGGGAAACATCAGGGAGATATGTTGTACCATTACTGTTTCGTAAAGACGAGGAACCTATCTTTCGTGACAGCAAGCAAATAGCTCAACGAAGATTTTTCTCTATCTATCCAGTTAAACGGTGGATGTAAAGCTGGATATACACGCTAATAATATGCATAGCAGCCTGGTTAACTATTATGGATATTCAGATTCATGATTCCGCCACAATATGATCTGTATGAATATTTTGGTGAACAAATCATAATCAACTGTCTCTACCCACACTCCGCCGATACACGACGCGAATCCGTACCTAAAATCTCCCAGCGTTTGAGAAGCTTCATTCCAGTCAGTTCGTTTGATTTCTTACCTTTCGTCTTTCACTCATACGTAGTTGGTCTATAAAATGCTCAAGTTGATGACTTCTTTATTACCAACGGCAGATTTGAGAGTGGAAGGATTTGCAGTGATTTTTAAGATAAAGATATATCAATTTTCCTATTTTTAAATCTTCAGAACACAACACTTGAAAACACGAATTCTACACACTCCTTAAAGTGTTTTGAAGGGTACTCCATGTAAAATTTCTCTAAGAATTCTAGTTGCTACGCTCAAAACTCTTATTGTTATTGTAACATGTTTATCGCATGTCCTTTCGGTAAACATTACCGTGTATGTTTAGCTTTTGCTCAGACGGCGGTAGAGGAGATGAAAGAAATAAACCGGAAATAAAGTATACAGGAAAAAAGAGGGTCGCAGAACGAAGTGTTTCTGCTCCCCTGATTACTCATTGCCGACGCTCTGATTAATAAGTGGACCTTAAACAGAGATTGAGAGATGCATTTTTCTATGGTAGGTCAAATATTTGGCATTCAAGCCAAATAGGTAGGTTGCGCAAACAATAAATTATAATCAATCAGTTTCATTGTTATAATAATGTGGTGAGTAGTTCAATAAAAATTCGAATGATTATGGAGTATATATAATATAGCATAAAATAATAAAATAAAACAGTCAATTCAATGCAATTAAAATAAAAATAATATCCTTTAAAATACAAACAAGTAATAAATCAATCTAGAATTCTCAAAAAAAAACAGTTTCTGTATAAATCCATAAACAAAAGGATCACATAAACAAAAGCATTCTTACAAAAATCTAATACGGGCCACGTAGCATTCTGAAAAAAAATACATATTGTTATTCAAAATAGATTTCCAGTATACATACAATGTTTCTATACTATACACTGAAAAAAATCTCCGCCCCATCCCCCAAATTGGGAATATCATTTCAAGATGAAGCCTGCCTAAGTGAGTTTTCAAAGAAGCTTTGTGGAAACAGTTTAGCTACAGTTTGCTTCCAGTGACAAAAAGCACAACACGAAAATGAACAAAAAATCAGTAGTAGAAGAGAGAAGGGGTATCAGATGATTGACAAAATCATTCTTTGTATTTTCCACCTTGTTTATGCGATACTAACGGTTCGAGCAATCATTGTACGGAGCCAATTTTAATGCATGTTATATAATAAATACAATATGCTATATAAAATATCTTACCAATATGCGATAGGCTGACCTTCTGCGTCTATACAGGATTGCATCCTAGTGCGCATGCTGTCCACCAAGTTTTTGCAGACATCCGTTCCCCGGAAGGATTCCCATATCCGCCTACAATGGGTGTCTAGAATTATCCTGCCTATTGGGGAGCGGTCCGCCAGTGCTCCACTTTGAATTAACGTCTGGAGATTTCGCTGGCCAGGCAGTGACATTGTAATCCTCTTGTGCAAGATAATTTCGCAAGATGTGTGACGTATGGACGGCGGAATTATCTTGCACAAAATTGATTCTACCTTGTGGATAGAGAATCCGGTAAGATGGGATAAAACTATTATTCAAAATGTCCACATATTGTTGCAACTTCATTCCGTCTGCAAATAACAAGATCATCTTATGAGGGACCGAGGTATACACAGTGTCACGACGTATTTCTTCCAGGACAAGAAAAGGGAGCTAAAATGCAATATATTTCGAACACCAAGTGCGTTTGTGTGTGTGTGTGTGTGTGTGTGTGTGTGTGTGTGTGTGTGTGTGTGTGTGTGTGTGTGTGTGTGTGTGTGTGTGTGTGTGTGTGTGTGTTTGTGAAAATGAAATAAACAATTTTACTTTGAGGGAAACAGAACGAAACTTCAAGGATTTTTCTTGTATGTTTTTACACTTTCGGGTGATGCTAAAGAAACCATAAAAGATCTCCAAAACTGGGGAATCATGGAATCTTATTGCATTTTCTGTTCCCTACTAAGTCCTAGGAGGAATATGGTATAATACTAGTAATCTTTTATAATAAATTAGCTTTTCCAAGAAATTATCCGATATCAACAAAACCATCTATTGTGATCATTATTTATTCATTTAGATGTTAGTAATTTTATGCTGTTACTAAAAGCCTACTGTAGTGATATAACTTTGTCGTAAAACAATACTCAAAAGCAAGAGCTGCTATTTTGTATTTTGAATTTTGATGCAGCGCATTCGGTAATTCCAAATGGTTTTGTATTTTTATATAACTCTTACGGGTGGTGCAATGTTGTCCTTGGTTCAAATGCCGGAAACCATCAATTGTGTAAGGAGTAAAATAGATACTCGTAAAATAATGAGCCCGCAGCGCTACGACGAAGTCGATCAAGTGGTTCCACTAGCAGCTCTTGCTAACTTTAGTATAGTTGTAACTTAATTATCTCTTACCAGTTATACTAACTAAATCCCCTGGTCCATCCGCCGTCATCCACCCCCCAGTATCCTATTGTCGTTCGACCCGTGCTTCTGTTGGGGATTATGTTTGCTGGGTCGTATCTGGTGTTGTTCCGATGCCATAGCGGCGGTCGGTAATCCGTATTAGTACATAATTTTTTTTCATTGGAGAAGACTACGGTGCTCCAGTCGCTATTTAGGTTCTCCTGGCAGACCTGTAGTCTTCTGCTTCTATGATCCTCAGTGAGCAATGGCTTCACTGCCGGTATCCTTCTTTGGATGCCTTCCTTATGCAGATATCTGCCCACTGTTGTTCTGTGACACTGTAGCCCCAGTCTATCTCGCATTGCGAGCGCACTACAAAACCTATTTTCGTTGTTGAACGCAATCAGCCTGCTCACGTCTTCATTTGATAAGACGTTGCGTCGGTGAACATTTGACCTGTCGGTTTCCAAACTGCCACCTTCCCTATTCCGCCTAATCAAGTTTTGGACTTGGACATTCAGGAAAGTGTGCTCTGATCAAAAAGACTGTATAATTTACCGACATATCAAACTGATCTGCTACTCCGCGCTGGATATACCCATCTCATAACATTTGAGAATCATTCGTCTCTCACGCGGGGTTGTTTGTTGGCGAGACATTTTCTTTCTTCTACAACAATATTGCTCTCCAGAACACTCAAACAACAACTGATTATCCATGCTAAATCCACTAAACGTAAGAGTTAAATAGGAATATAGGACATTTTTCTAGCTACTGTCAATTTCTTTGTGAGCTAAAAACACAAAATACAGCTTTTGTCTTTGAAGTGCCGCACCGCCGACTGCATAAGCGTACCCGCTGGTTGTCCCACTTCCATATTCATAAGAAAAAATTACATGGATTACTCTTAATACCTATTGAAATTTAAAATACTATTTTGTTCCTCAAATGTCTGGTAATATTTTATGACTGAACAGGATAGTTTCTTTGATTAATGCATTAATTTGTAAATTGAATCAAGAAGGACTTATTCATTTCTTATTTAATTTACTTGGTCGCCGCCGCTGACTGGGTGCAATCCCAATGTTATTAGAAAGAAGCGCGGAACTCTTTGAACTAGGCCCACAGACCCCACGCCTCTGTTCCTTTTCTGGTGTGGGCACGCCGGCGTATTCATGGGAGGCCTTTGGGGCTCCTCGGAGTCTACCCTCCCGAAGCGCAACATCTCATTACGCTTCTTCTACATATTACAGTATGTTATACCTTCTGTGAAGTGCAGCTACCTGTGCTAAGCGAGTCCCCCCCTCTGCTATGCAGTTTTATGTCTCCAAGACACCCCTTACCGCCCCGAGACGGAATTTTCGTGTCATCCTGGATCTTGAGCCTCCCCCCAGATCTTTTCCTGGATAACACCACTGGCTGAGCAAGATCTCAATCTACAGGAAACATTTACTATCGCAAAATCAACCACAACAGTGGCTCCTACAAATCATTTTTGTGGGCACGTTTCAAATTTCCGTCATCGGACTAAACTAGGAAGTCACAAATGAATAAAATTAGCAAATCATAACAGATCATAATTGTTTGTATTAGCATTGGGAGGATTTTTGGAAAAGCAAAAATTCTGTATATTTGGTTTCTGTCTAAAGTGGCTGAACCTACCAGTATGTCTACAAAGTAAGAAGCATGTAGACCAGAATGCAGTTTTTTATAGACACAGAAAGTGCTTAAACTAAATACTGGTGAAATACTTTTCAGAGCTAATGAAATTAGTTGCAAGAAGGATAAATAGCCAGCGCTAATTTCGTAAACTAAACGTTTTTCATATTTATATTTGAGATGAGAATGTTCAGTTTCCAAACGTAACTATGTTCGATAGCCTAGCACTTACGGCTTGTCTATTCAGTACCAAACATCCAACCTACCATATCAGAATTAATTAAACTACCTGCTTCTCCCTGAATATTGAAATTTGAAAGAAATATTTTGCTTTTCAAAAGATATTACAGATAAAGATGTAATCTGCTTTGAAAATCACACCATATTGGGAACTAGCGCAGTTGCTGGCACGCTAACGCTATGCAAAATGTTGTACGTTGATGTCTTTATTTAAAATCTCATGTAGCGCAGTTGCTGGCATGCTAATGCAATGCTAGCGATAACTTTATCCCTATCTCTAATCATTTTTTATAATTTGGCATCTTTGATCTGGTATCTGGTATCTGGTATTTGGTATCTGGTATCTGGTATCTGGTGTCTGGTAACTGGTATCTGGTGTCTGGTATCTGGTATTTGGTATCTGTTATCTCTTTATCTGGTATCTGGTATCCGATATCTGGTGTCTGGTGTCTAGTATCTGGTGTCTGGTATCTGGTATCTGGTATCTGGTATCTGGAATCTGGTATATGGTATATGGTATCTGGTATCTGTTATCTCTTTATCTGGTATCTGGTATCTGGTGTCTGGTGTCTAGTATCTGGTGTCTGGTATCTAGTATCTGGTATCTGGTATCTGGTAACTGGTATCTGCTGTCTCGTGTCTGGTATCTGGTATCTGTTATCTGGTATCTGTCATCTGGTATCTGGTATCTGGTGTCTGGTAACTGGTATCGGGAATCTGGTATCTGGTGTCTGGTATCTGGTATCTGGTGTCTGGTATCTGGTGTCTCGTGTCTGGTATCTGGTATCTGTTATCTGGTATCTGGTATCGGGAATCTGGTATCTGGTTCCTGGTGTCTGGTATCTGGTATCTGGTGTCTAGTATCTGGTGTCTGGTGTCTGGTATCTGGTATCTGGTGTCTGGTATCGGGTGTCTGGTATCTGGTATCTGGAATCTGGTATATGGTATCTGGTGTCTGGTGTCTAGTATCTGGTGTCTGGTATCTAGTATCTGGTATCTGGTATCTGTTATCTGGTATCTGGTGTCTGGTATCTGGTATCGGGAATCTGGTATCTGGTGTCTGGTATCTGGTATCTGGTGTCTGGTATCTGGTATCTGGTATCTGGTATCTTGTATCTGGTATCTGGTATCTGGTATCTGGTATCTGGTATCTTTTATCTTTTATAAGTTATCAGTTTTCATTTTTCATTTTTCAATGTCGCATGTGTCACCATTAATAGCACACAATGGCTTTATAAAATCTTTGATATAGCATTAATGCCCTCTATAAAATTGTATGACAAACTCAGATTTATGTGAGGATCCGGCAACGTCGCATAAGTCTAGCTACCGCACGATTTGCAAAAAAATGGCGCTTGATACTTGACATATGTCAACCGTGTTCGCCTAAGGATAGCACGTTCTTTCTTCAGTGTAAATGTTTTATGATTTGACAGGAATGAAAATTATTTTTACCTTATTTAAATCTGCTGACGATTAATAAGGGTACCTCTCAAACTTCTTCAAAGATGAAATACATTATCACGATAGATATACACTGAGGCACTTCGTCTGAAAAACTGTAAACACTCGGCACCCGGTATCATTAGACTGTTATCTGTTATTATATTATGCTATAAGCACAAAGTCTTTGCTATGTTGTGAACTCCTGGTCTCTTCAGGAATTGATCTTTGGCACTAATTAGGTCTTACAATCATATTTGTCGTATTTAAGCTGATGATGACTTCTATAAATTGCTAAACGTCACACCCGATTCCACTGCATAGTTGGGGGTAAAAGACAGGAATGAAAATTGTTTACCATATTTAAATTTGCTGACGATTAATAAGGCTACCTTTCAAACCGCTCTCAAACGTCTTGAAAGATGAACTAAATTATCTATAGATACACTGCGGTACGTCGTCTGAACCGAAAAACTGTAAACACTCGGCATCACTAGACACTTGCAAGACACACTGCTATAAGCACAAAGTTTTGCTATATTGTGGACTTGTTGCCTTTTTAGGATGGATCCATATAAACGTTCATCTAAAATTATGCCACTCATTAGGGTTTACAATCATATTTATCGTATTGAAAGTGATGATGACTTTTGTAAACAAATCGCTAAACGTCAACGCCTAAATGCTTAGTTGCTGGTAAAATTACAACGTTGCCCAGGCATACTTGATTTTCATATAATAATGGCTATAGTCCGGTCCGTTTAGAATATGAAATATAGAAATTCTGAATCTTTTCGAAAATGCTTATTTTCACGCTTAAAAAAGGACAATGGTATTCGGCATGATCCAATATTCGATGAAGCGACCAACATAAAGCCGAAAATAGCACGTTTCGGACGTTTCGCTCGCACGCGCTCGCTTTCATAATACGATCATACCTACAATACCTCGCCTAACAGGAATCGCGAATCTGGAGCGGAAATTCAAAATTGAAACTTCAAACTAAAAATATCTGCATATCTTTGAATTTTCTAATCTGCCGAGTTTAAAAAATGCGATCGGGTAACGTATCGTATGTCGGTTTAATCAGGAGACTTTGGTCTTTCGTTTTGCGAAAAAAAATCGTAGCTACGTCGCTCCGTAACGCAGGTCCGTATCGACGAAGACAAAGTACGCCGAAAAACGGCTGTCATCGGTACTTTTGAGACGCTCAAAGTTTACTTCTTCGAAATTTGACGGTAATTCTAACGGTCAGAATCGTTTCCTCAGCTCATTATCGTTATATTTCGATAGCTGTATAATTTTTACTCGCTCACGTACGGTAGTAATTAGCGACGACAGAGCCGGATGACAAAGTGACGTTTTCACGCGTCGAAATGTAGCGTATTGTCGAGGAATTTTGAAAAAATCGAAACTTGCGAACGACAAGGGATAAAGGAAAAAAAAGGGCGCTATCTTTGAGTCCGATGTCCGGGCTTTCTCACGCAAAAATCGTCAGGTTCGTAGCTCCTTTATCTTCGGAGGAGATCGAAAAAGCGCGTCGAACGGCACGAAAATCTACCAATTTTTCAACTTTACCGGCCATTTTCGATCGCGTTTGTTCCTCCTACCGCGACAAGTCTCGCTCACCCGTAAAGCGCCGAGTTTCTAGTTTCCGAAACGGTATCGTTTTCCTTCCGAACGTTTCGCGAACCCGGAAAAAACGGAAAAACCGCGTCGTCGTCATACGACAATTTCTGAACCCCTAAAAATTATACCAATTATACCAATTCGAACAAAAGATCACCGCTTAATATAGTCGACTAGCGCAGTTTTTAGCATGCCAACGCTATGCTAAATATTGTCCGTTGATGTCTTTATTTAAAAGTACCCGTAGCGCAGTTGCTGGTATGCTAATGCAATGCTAGCGATATATACTTTATCCCTATCTCTAATCGTTTTTTATCCTTTGGCATCTTTGATCTGTTATCTCGTATCTGGTATCTGGTATCTGGTCTCTGGTATCTGGTGTCTGGTGTCTGGTATTTGGTATCTGTTATCGCTTTATCTGGTATCTGGTATCTGTTGTCTGGTATCTGGTGTCTAGTATCTGGTGTCTGGTAACTGGT